ATTTGTTTTTGCTAAATGTTTCAGTGCGTTAGTGCTTTAAGATTTGTTTTTGTTAAATATTTCAGTGCGTTAGTGCTTTAGGATTTGTTTTGCTAAATATTTCAGTGCGTTAGTGCTTTAAAATTAGCTCTTGCTAAATTTTTTGGTGTGTTAGTGCTTTAGAATTAGGGGACCTAAATATCGGATTTAGTGCTTTAGAGTTAGTACAACTAATTTTTTGATCAGTGCTGACCACCACTGCAGACAACCAGTTGAATCTTTTTGAAAGCTTTGTTCTTGTCTCCTTACAGCTCCGCAGCAGTCAGGCCTCAGCAGYTAGAAGGCCTTGGTGCCTTATCTGAATGTAAACAAATAAACTCTCAGGAGCAGACTGCTCTAAGGGACTGCACACAAGAATTAAAAAACCCTTTTCTCAATAACGATGAATCAACCTTTTTATCTTTTATGTCARACATTAGAACCAACTTTGTTACGAAGACAGAAAGAACACATAAATAAGACTTATGGCTGCAATGATCATAAAGTATAAAAATACAAAACTGGATCAAACATTCAGTCAATCAGTTACAAAACTTCCTTCAGCATCATTAGATTTAATGGAGCTTTGTGTTCAGAGTATTTTCTTATAAATCAACTCATCTGTAATTTTCCACAACTTTTTCATTGGCCTGTGTGGAGAGATCCTTGGACTTCATGATGTCTCTTGCTAGACTGCTGCTCTTACTGGTGTTGATTTTGACAGGTTGTATCATTCAACACTTAGATTTTCCTTATTGATGTTCATTCTTCTGGAGTATTTTTGGAGGATTATTGCTTTTCTAAAATCCAATTAAATTCTAGGTTTTAAGGCGACGAAATAAAAAGATTACCAAACGGGATGTATACTTGTAAAATGTTTTGTAAATTATGAGAGAATGTTGGGCCTTTACATGTGCAGTTTGGGATAGACATGCTCATATTTTCATTAGCTGTGCCGTTTTAGTCATTTTCTTCATTTATTTCTCCCCAAACCCACAAATGACCAACACACACCACGCTCTCTCCTCTGTGGCACGCAGCACAAAGATCTTCTATGAGCCTCTCTTTGGACACAAGTGCTGAACTGTTAGATTTTGTGTGTGTGTGTGTGTGTGTGTGTGTGTGTGTGTGTGTGTGTGTGTGTGTGTGTGTGTGTGTGTGTGTGTGT